CCCAACAAGGTAGTTGTGATCCTCTTTGACCCATATTCGAGATGAATCCTTCAAGGAACTTCAATTCTCTCACTGAAAGCCGAACAATCTTGTACAAGTGACTGGTTGAGGTCGGATATATCAATCTAGTGGGGCCAAAACTCGTGGATATCAATTCGAAATTCTAAAGGCCAAATTAGAGATGTGCTTATCATTCCAATGGTATTGGGAATGATACTGAGGAGTGTATCAACCTCAAGCACAAGATTTATTATATAATTGACCAAGAGGTGTTTTCTCTCCAACCAGCTGCACTTAATGTCAATATAAATCCTTTGTCGAATCATAGAGGCGGCAACATAAATATGATAGAAACAGACGATGATTCATGTGGGACAAATGTGATAACTCCAATCATTCATGACGGGTTGGAAAAGGTTGTGGATTTCTTAAGTGTCAAAGATAAGAATGATTTTGTTATTTTGACACCCCGCAAAGTTTGTTGCCTTTGTACAACAAAAAACTCTTATCAAGATGAATTAGTGATTGAAACTCCGGCTGAGAAAGGTATGACCCAATCCAGAATATTTTATACTCCTGAGGAGCTTTCTCTTGGAGGTCAAAAGAAGGATCAATCTAAAAGGACAATAAGCAAGGGTGAGGTAGAAGAGTTTTGGAGAAGAATGCAGTCGAAAATTATTCTATTGCCAAGCATTTGGAGAAGACTCCAACATAGATTTTAGTGTAGGCCTTGCTGATGAGTTCTCAATTGCATAGGAAGGCTTTAATGAAGGCTCTTGATGACTCGTATGTGCTCATCGACATAAGCAGCGATAATGTAGCCGCTAGGATTAACCATGTTATCCAATGGCATCGAATAAGTTTTTGTGACGATGAGTTACCTTTTGAAGGAAGGTCACACAAAAGGCATTACACATCAATGTCGTATGCCGCAAGAGTTGTAAATCACATTTTGGTGGATGATATATCTTGTCTAAATATTTTCCCATTGTCGACATTGAGGAAGTTAAGGTTTGACCTTGGGAAACAAGAACAACACCTAGTCAATGTAAGATCATTTGATGTGGATCAAAGAGATACGTTGGGAGCGTTGAATTTGATCACTAAAATGGGTCTGGCAGAATTCAGTGCACAATTTCAAGTCTTGCACATCGACACCAGCTATAACCTTCTTCTGGGAAGGCCTTTAATCCATATGTTGGAGTTGTCCCTTATACTCTGCATCAGTTGATAAAACTTGTTTGGAAACATGAATAGCTGGTTCTTCATGGCAAAGGGAGTCACATTGGCAAACAGGCACCGATCATTGATGAGGTATTTCAAGGTACTGATTTCTACATGGCGGAGCCGGTAAATGCAACTGGTGAATACTTTGACTCACAGCCTCTCATGCCTTCTGTGTATAAGGTGATTTATACTATGATGTTGTAAAGAGGATTTGAACCAAATTTCGGATTAGGGAGGAATTCCTGAGGAATTGTTGAGCACATTCAAGTTCATGTCAAAGGGGCAAGGTATGGATTGGGGTACGTCACCACTGATGAGGATGAGAAGACAAAGAAGATGAAGGATGAAGCATGGTCCAAGCCAATCCCGCATATGTATCAATCCTTTCCAGTTCGTGAATATGCCAAGCAGGAGGACCTGGGGGAAGGAATCTGTGGCCTTTTTGAATAGATTGATGCAATCATTAATGAAGAAGTGGAGCTGACAGGATTCCGTGATGCTGATCTATGAGAGATGCTGCAGAAACTGACCTCCACGCCCATCCTGATCCCCCATACTCTTCAGTAGAATGGCATAATTTTATGCATATTTGAATTGTTGGTAGCCCGGAGGAGGCCCGAGACCCAGCATTTTGAATTTTCTTAACTTTTTGAATTTTTCATTTTCCATCGTGATGTTTAAAAAGGCAACATGGCCCTATACCATGGCCAAAGATTGTATAGTTTTTTCCAATTTGAATGAAAGCCTCTTTTATCTTAAAATTTGTTTATTTAATCATTTGTTATACTTTGATTATGCTTTCAGTAATATACGTTTTAAACCTGCCAATGTCCTGTCATGTCACGAGATGAATGAACAAAATGAGTTAAGTGATGATGAGTTTGATGACTACGAAGAAGTAAGTGAGCAACCAAAGTATGTCGCCAAGGAATTTTGGCAGTTTGAATACTAGTATAAGCAGAATCTAGAGGAAACGAAAATAGTAAATCTTGAAGACCCAGAGTGCGTTAAAGATGTTAAGATCAACATTCACTAAAATGAAACTCAAAGAAAAGGCCTAATTCATTTGCTTGATGAATATATTGATGTGTTTGTCTGGGAAGTAGGTGACATGGTAGGGTTGAGTACTGATGATGTATCTAATAAACTGTCGATTAATCTGGGGTTTGATCCAGTAAAACAAAAGGTTCGGAAGTTCAAGCCCGAATTGAGTTTTAAAATTAAAGAAGACATCACCAAGCAGATAGAGTCTCGATTAGTATAAGTGACTCAATACTTGACCTGGTTGGCCAATGTTGTTCTTGTCGCCAAAAAAAAGATGGGAAGATCAGAATTTGTGTCGACTACACATATCTCAACAAAGCTATCCCTAAGGATAATTTTCCATTGCTGAACATTCACATTCTGATCGATAATTGTGCTAAACACGAAGTGAAGTCATTTGTGGATTGTTATGCAGGTTATAATTTGATTATGATGGATGACGAAGACGTAGAAAACACAACTTTTGTCACACCTTGGGGTGTATATCATTATAGAGTGATGCCATTTGGCCTCAAGAATGATGGTGATGCCTATAGAGGGCTATGACAACCATATTTCATGACATGACTAAAAAGGAGATTGAGATGTATGTGGATAACGTCATAATATAGTCCCGCGAGAGTTTGGACCACTTGAAACTTCTAAGGAAGTTCTTTGATCGTTTGCATCGTTACAATTGGAAGTTGAATCTCGCCAAATGCATTTTTGGAGTTCCAGACGGTAAGTTGTTAGGATTTATAGTCAGCAGGAAGGGTATTGAGCTCGATCCTTCTAAGATTAAAGCAATTCAAGAGTTACCTCGGCCGAAGACTAAGAAGGAGGTGATGAGTTTCTTGGGGAGGTTGAACTACATCAGCCGATTCATAGCGGAATCAATCGTGGTGTGTGAGCCTATCATCAAGCTGTTGAAGAAGGAAGCTCCGACAATGTGGACTGAAAAGTGTTAGACTGCTTTTGATTCTATCAAGAACTATTATCAAATCCACTGGTATTGGTTCCACCATGAGAAAGGAGTCATTTGTTACTATATTTGTCCATCTCAGATAGTGCATTCGAATGCGTACTCAGTCAATATGACGAGACTTGAAAGAAGGAAAGAGATATCTATTACGTAAGCATAAAGTTTAATCCATATGAGTCGCATTACACTCTGTTTGAGAGAGAGTGTATTGTGCTTTCACTTCGGTTGCCCAGAAGTCGAGACATTATTTATTTTCTTATACTACATACCTCATTCCCGTAATGGACCCGCTGAAGTATATCTTCCAGAAGGCGATCCCGAACGGAATATTGGCTAAGTGACAAATGCTTTTGAGTGAGTTTTATATTCTGTATGTGGCTCAGAAGGCGATAAAAGCAAAAGCCTTGGCTGATCATCTTGCAGAAAATCCCATAAATGAAGAGTATGAACCACTTAAAACTTATTTCACTATGAAAAAGTGTCATTTATTGGTGAAGATATATCTGAAACATACCCCGATTGGAGACTATTCTTTGATGGAGCGGAAAATCATCAAGACAAAGGCATTGGAGAAGTATTAGTGTAAGAGTCTTGTCAACACTATCACATGGCGGCTAAAATCCGTTTTAATTTCACGAACAACATGTCCAAATATGAAGCTTGTATTCTTGATTTGAGAATGGCCATTCACATGAACATCCACGAGATATTGGTTATTGTAGATTCAAATCTATTGATTAATGCGGTTAAACGAGACTGGGTCATGAAAAACTAGAAGGTTATACCTTGCGTACGATATGTGCAGAAGTTATGCAAAAGGTTTTCTAGGATCGAGTTTAGACATACTCCCAAAATACAAAATGAGTTGGGCGATGCTCTTGCCACCGTCGCATCAATGATTAAACATCCAGAGACAGATTATATTGATCCTATGGATATAGAGTTCAAAGAGCATCCAGTACATTGTTTCCATGTTGAAGCAAAACAAGATGATTTTCCTTGGTATTCTCGATATAAAGAAGTATTTGGTGTCTAGAACTTATCCCAAAGATGCTATGTCCAACAAAAAGAAGTCAATACACTGTATGGATCTCAATTTATCTCTAAGTGAAGAAGTCCTTTATAGGAAGACTCCTTATTTGGGTCTTATAAGATGCGTTGATGTTGTTGAAGGGGAAAAGCTTATTGAAAAAAAATACATGATGGAGTTTGCGACACACATATGAATGGGCTCACTTTTGCATGAAAGATCTTTCGAGACGTCTATTTCTGGTTGACTATGAATGATTGTTGCAAGTTTGTGCAAAAATGTCATAAATATCAAGTGTACGGTGATTTGATCTGACTGCCGCCTCGCGAACTTAATGATATTAGTTCAACTTGGAAATTTGTAGCTTATGGTATGGTTGTCATCTGTGCGATCAATCCAGCCGTTTCAAATGGACACAAATTCATTATTGTTGCTATTGATTATTTTGCAATGTGGGTGGAAGCAACTTTTGACTAGTAAGTAACCAACATTGTTGTGGCTGATTTTGTATTAAAAAATTTTATATAAAGGTTCGGAATACCAAAATCGATCATTACTGATAATTGTGAAAAATTTAATAGTAATTGGACGAGAGATATATGTGCGCAATGCAATATCACGCAACGGAATTCAACCGCTTACCGTCCTCAAATGAATGGAGCTGTAGAAGGTGCCAACAAGAATATCAAGAAGACTCTGAGAAAAAATATTGAGAATAACCAAGTTTGGCATTAGATGATGCCATATGATTTATTGGGTTACCGGACGACTGTCACAACGTCAATTGGAGAATTTCCATACTTGCTAGTATATGGAACGGAAGCAGTCATACCTGCTGAAGTCGAAATACCATCTTTGAGAATCATCCAAAAAGCTGAGTTAAGTAATGCTGAATGTGTCAGTAAGCATATTGATAAACTAACTTTGATTGATGAGAAGATAATGGTTGTTGTCTGTCATTGTCAGTTGAATACACAGAGATTGATTCGTGCCTTTCACAAGAGAGTAAGAACCAGAATTTTCGATGTTGATCAGCTGGTACTTAAACGCATTTTTCCTCATCAAGACGAATACAAAGGAAAATTCGCGCCAAAATGGCAAAGACCCTACATGGTTCGCAAGGTATTATCTGGAGGTGCTTTGGTCCCATCATAATGGATGATACAGCATGGACAAAGCTGATCAACTCAGATGCTGTCAAAAGATACTACGCGTGAAGCTTTGTTGTGCATTTATGTTATTTGCATGTAATTGTTTTGTTTAAGGTTATATCCCTTCCGTAAAGAACTACGTCTGACCTGAATTCTCAAGAATGATATACGTAGGTGGCCTATGTCGGCCTCAGTCACCCCATTTTTCCCTTTTAAATATTTCTTTGTATTTGAACTACATTCGACCTGAATTCTCAGGAATGAGATATGTAGGTGGCCTATGTCGGCCTCGGTTGGTTCCTTTGTAATTTTTATTATTGTTAGCCTTTGAGGGAGAACTATGTTTGACCTGATTCCTGCCTCAACGGGATACACAGGCACCACAATGGCTCCGTCATATTTTCCGTAAGATTTCTATTCTTCTTTACAATAGAAACTAGGACAGAATATTTGAGAGGGACTAGAAAATTCTTGAGAAGATATTCTTCCTCTGCAAGACAAGACTGAAGATATTTTGAGATTTGCAATTAGGACAGAATCTTTGAGAAGATATCAAAAATTGTGCGAGCTGCTCAGTTACAGTGGAATGATAAGCATGACAGTTAACTGCGCAAAATTTTGAGGATGTCCTCAAAATATCAACATGGGTTTATCTACAAGTCAAGAGTGACTTTGAAAACTCCCACCGAATAATCAGATAAACATCCAAGCATCAGACTCAGAGAAGTTTGTTAACCCCGATATGAAATGACTTGGCAGTAACATTTTTCATATACTAATTCTCGAAATTTTATTTCTCTTAAATTTTCCTTTTTACATTTCATTTGTGTTGGCATAAAATATTTTGTCCTATCTATAAGGAGTCGAGAGATCAGGAAATCAACCATTGATAGTAGGGCAAGGATCACATAACTGAAAAAATCGGCACGGATCAGTTCATTTTTAAAACTAATAATTCTTCTATTGACGCAGGTTTATAACTTTGATATGAAATCAGCAAATTCCTCCGATAGATGAATATGGAAATGTAAAACGAGGAGAAAACTATCACAAAATCAATTTTTCCTAGAAGCAGAAATCATTTTATATCATTTGTTTTGGGAACACAAAATTTATAAAGAACGTCCAACTAGATTCGAAGGTAAATCAAGCAAAAATCTCAAGGAAAAGTTTATGTTCTCCATAAAGGACGTCATTTGAATCATAATGTCGAACATGATATTAGGCCTTACTCCGAGGGGTCGGTTATTTTATTGTCAATCAAGAAGATATACTATCTTAAAGTCATTTTATATTTATCATCATAGGAGAAGATTTGTTTATCCAGAAAGCACCAAGAAGATGACTATGTTGCTCGATTGAAGCACTATCTTCATTTAGTAGCAAGGATGACATCAAGAGTTAATATCGGTGCATCGCATGAAGATATTAACGCCCTGCATATGATCATGCATCACAAGTCAATATCTATGCATCGTGAAAGATCAAGCATCACGAGTCAATATCCATGCATTGTGGAAAATCATGCATCACGAGTCAATATCCATGCTTAGCAGAAGATTGTGCATTGCAAGTCAATATCCACGTATTGCAGAAAATTATGCATCGGTAGTGAATATTCGTGCATCGTGGAAAATCATAGATCGGGAGTTAATATCCAAGAATCGCGAGAAGATTTCATTCATTGTAGAAATTTATGAATTGCAAGAAGATTTCATACCTTTCAGAAATTTATGCATCGCGAGAAGATATCATACCTCGCAAAAAAATATGCATCCTGAGAAGATTCTATGCCTCATTGAAAATTATGCACCGCGAGAGGGTTTTTCACGCTTCGCAAAAAGTTATGCATCATGAGATGATTTCATACCTCGCAGAAATATACGCGTCGCAGGAAGATATTCATACTCTGCAAGAAGTCATCCACTGCCGGAAAAGGAAATAGTGTATCCCAATTATTCATCTGTATCAACTGCATTCCTTTAAATAAAACTAAACATCAATAAGACCATCAAAGACGATACGAAGAGAAATATCAGCATGCTGCATCAACATTTACTTATTTTGATATCAAAGGAAGAGTGCATTGAATATTACATTGAAACATAAGAAATAAACTTTATTTGTTTTACGTCAAACCGATCAGAGTGACAACAAATGAGTAAGGAGAACATTTAAGTGTAAACATGGTAAAAGAAAGTATCTCCCATTTGAATTGCAATTTTTAAGCTGATGAGTTTTATCTCAGTCTTTTTCGAGAGTATCTGAAAGGATTAATTCTCCAAAAAGAAAACCACATGTGCGGACAACGTCAAAAAGGAAGCAGCACAACGTGGAACTCTTTCTTAGCAGGGAAATGAAACAATGTCCAAAGAGGAATGTCAAAATCTTAGGGCGTGAGCAAAGGAGCGACTTCTAATATAATAAAGCAAAACCCCTATCAGAAGGCATATGGGTTTTCTTCGGTTTTGTTAGTTTCAGTCTCGTATCCAGGAATATTGATATATGCCGGAGGCAAGTTTCCAATCTGAGTGAAAATACACCAAGAGAGTTGGAAATTATGTCCGTGTAGATTTTTATTTATGGGTGTAAAATGCACCACCTTCATAATTAAGATGTTACAAGCCTCCTTTTCACATACAATTTTATTTGTCACTTATCCAGAACCAAAGGAAATCTAGCATATTAAATTCACTCTTCAACTGATCGAGTCGAACTACAAGCAGCCTTATTCCTTGGGTTTAAGGATATGCAGGCGAACTCAATGATGAGACTCGGTGTATTCCAACTTTCCCTCTTAAATCCTTTCGTAAAGATGAATATGTGGTCGGTCAAAATTTGCTCGGTCAATTTCTTTTACCCCGAATTTCTTACATCAATCTAAGTAAAATGAGGGACAATTGTTGACACCAAATTTTGACCCTCCCCGATAGGAATTATTCATGAGCTTCTTAAATTCTCAAACAATTTAAAACAATTATTTTCATAAAATTTTAAGAAAAAAATATAAAGTTTGTGTTATTTTGAATGGTTTTTTCATTTCTAACATTTATTAGATAATATATATATATATATATATATATATATATAAAATAATTATGTAATAATTAGTATATTTTATGATTATTCAAAAATCACAATCACCTCAAAAATATTTTAGTTCTATTAAAATAATTAGATAACTAGTGTGATTTAAATATTAATTTATAATTTAGGTTAATTATTTTATAATTGAAATAATTTTTTAATTTTGTTAATATTAAGAGGCTCATTAATTAATTTACGTTAATTCATATTATTTAGTTATTGGTTAAATCCTTTAACTCTTTTGCAAACTAAGCTTTGGCCCCTTTTTCTTTAAGTTTAAGCGGCCCAATTTAATTCTCCTTGAGCCCTTCCAATATAGTTGTCAAAGACAAGAAGCCAAGAACCATTTTTTTTTGTTTCCCACCAGCAAATAGACCCGGCCATCCCAATCTTATAACCCATGACCCCACCCTTACGTCCTCGTCTTCTTCTACACGTGAACCTAAACGCGAAGAAATTTCAGCAAACAGGGAAATAGCAACTCGAGTGCAGTTTCAATCGCGCGCATCTGTCCCTCCCCCCCCTCTCATCCTTATCCTTGTCGTACGGTATAATCCAGATGTTGCAGTCTCGTGGTTTGCTCATCCTTGCAAAGAATTATGACGATCCTCCTCAGCAGCCCGTTGCAGATTGATGAATTTCGTACTATTGACAGCTATTCAATATTATCTCTTAAGAAAATGGGAATTTTGATTTTAAAATTTGACCCTTTTTCCTCCCCCTCAAATCCGAACCTCAATCCCTTGGTATAAATAATCCTTTTCTTTTGTGTTAGGGGGAATTTTTGGGGGTGTTTGATAGATTATGTATAAAAAATATATATAGAGGAAGAAATTTTAGAGTAAACAAAGAAGGTTTGGTCTTCACTTATACAAATTTTGGAAGAAGCATAGTTTAGAGAAAAACAAAAAAAATTTATAAGGTTGCAGACAAAAAGTTAATATTTGAACAAGGAGCATTCTCAAATAGTATCCTAAAGAACTTAATTCTCTTTCCGTTTCTTTTCTTCTTTCACGCATAGATCGCCGGAGTTCACAGAATCTCATGAGGATGTGGTGAAGTTGTTGCTATGTTTCGTCTTGTCCCAGAAGCTGCCTATAAGAAGGTAAAACTCCTCTCTCGATAGCATTCACATAATCTTTTTTTTTGGAGTTGATATTTTTGATATTGGAAATGTGTATCAATGGTTGTTTGTTGCTACTCTAGTTGGTTGGTAATGTTAGTAAAAATACATACATTCTCGGCTAACTTCCTGGTTTAATATTACTGTGAACTAAAATTATTGCCACCTTGCGGATGATATTGTTGCTTTTACATTCTTTTATGTGAATTTGTTACATCAGTTGCTTCTCGTTTGTTTGTCTGCGTATCTAAATGAGGTTATGCATCTTCCTGTTTTTGAAGGTGATGGTATTTTCAACTTTGTGCTCTTATAATAGCATGCGTACAGTGCCTATATATATCTCGTTAAGATAGGAAATCATATCATTTCTATTCCGTTTGAGTCTAGTGGCTTTTTTCTTTTGTTCGTTTTGTATGTCTTCACTTGTATTTGTTTTGTTTTTTTCTAAAAAAATGTAAAAAGACCCTTCATCGAAGTTGACCAAACTCTTTAGTTAATTGTAATTTTTTTAAATATGCTTAGTTTTAATTTTTGGAGCTGACCTCACTGACCATCGTGGCCACTTAGCATGACTGTGTTAAGTTGTCAAATTGCTTAGTATGTTATGGGTACATATGTCAAGAGTTAGATGATGTAGAGTCGATTTTAACTTTAAGTATGGATATTGTTTTAGTTTCACAGCAGGTTTAGCCAAAAGGTTCTCAAATTCTTATATTTTTATTGGCTTGAAAACTATTTCCAAATCAGTTAACTATTAGGTGCCTTGTTATTTTGCTCTCTAAGCTATAGTTTGA